TATCGGTATTGTGATTCGATCTAAATTATCGTTAAGTTTTCAGAATATTATTTTAATCAATTGTTTTGTTCGCTCTCTATGTTTGACGCGATTTATTTTTAAATCTTTGAGACCATGTTGAATTATAATAATTTGTGACATCTGTGGTCAACAACAAAAAAAAACTTCGTCACACATTTTATTATATTTGTGATGTTGAAAGCCTTATTATTTATATTAAAAATTTTCCCCTTGTAACTTAATTATTTTTGTAACGAAGCCGTAATAACTAAACTAGACCGTGAAATATTACGCAAATTGCGATAAAGTTATAAAGTTTTTTCATGAGCACAAAATACAATTAAAAGAATAAGTGTCGTAGTTTGATTATTTAAAAAAAAAAACAATTGACACGGAATCTAGATTACTTTAAATTACGTAATATCGACCTTATTTAAGTTTGTTGCATACAAAAAAAATAAACCTCAAAAACGTAAATTTTAGAAAAGCTATGTCATATAACCTATAAATTCTTCAATCAGTCTTCCAATAATATCTCAATTCAACGTGCTCTTTGTTATGAAGGGAAACAACGAATCTCTGACCAAAAGAAATGTAAAAATAGAAGTATTGGGTGATTTTTTGCTATCGCATAGAACTCACAGCCTATGTGATGTTAGGTTGTTACTAGAGACTGTAGACTTGAATGTCGCCTTTCACCTTGAGACATGAGAGATGAGCATATTTTTTATTGCTTAGTTAGGTGGACGAGTTCACAGCCTTTTTTTTTTTTTTTTTTTCCACAGGAGAAAATCGCCGTATCCCCACCCGCGCGGCAGGTGGGGTATGTGGGAGTTGAACCTCACTAAAAACTCCTGCCGCTCACAACCGGCGCCCTACCTCGGACCGGGCCGGAGCCCAGTCGGGGCTATTGAAACGGCGGGACAGGGTTGACGCAGAGCACATTACATCCATCCCACCGTCCCACGGACGCCGGACCGGTGGCCGCCAGCGAAACGACCACCGGTTCCCTCGTTCAGCGGGCCGAGAGCCCGCTTTGATGGCGCCGCGTTACACCTTCCCCCAGAGCGGTCGGGGGAACGCGGTCTACCATCACCCGGCTTCCTATTGCGGGTGAGCGTGCAGAGCACGCCACCCCTCGTCTGGGTCCCTCCCCGCACAAAACGGGTGGGACCCCTAGCTCTTAGGGGGCCAGGTCACGGATACGACCCCGGTCCCGACCCCCTGCTCGGCGGCGGCGGGTTTCTGCGTAGTGAGGAGAGCTTTCCCTCACTCGCCCCGCCGCCTCCTTCTGCGAGATGGTGCACTCGCAGAAGTCGAGCATAGCCTTCCATGACTCATCGCTGCCAAGCATCGACGCCACGACGCCAGGCAGCGACAAGTCAGGTCCTATCTTTGCGACCAGGACACGGCGCTGCACCTCCCAAGCGGGGCAGACAGCGAGCGTATGCTCCGCCGTGTCCAGGTCGTGTCCACAATGGTGACACCTCATCGTCGGCTCAGCCCCTATCCGGCGCAGGTACTTCCCGAAGCATCCGTGCCCGGTCAGCACCTGCACCAGACGAAAGGTGAGACGTCCTTCGCCACGATTCACCCAGTCATCCAAGACCGGGTAAACCGCCTCGACGGTCCGTAGCCCCCACGTGGGGTTGGCCAATCGCGTCGACCACGACTCGAGCACGGACCGCCGAGAATGGGCCTTCCGCGCCCGCAGCTCACTTTCGGGGAGACGCGCCACGCCCCGAGCACGAAGCTCGCTGCGCCACCGATAGTCGGCAGCGAGCGACTCCGCCTCCAGCTCCCATGGCGGCGTCCCCGCCAAAACACACGCCGCCTCGAGAGTTCACGGCCTACCTGATGTTAAGTGGTTACAGGAGCCCATAGACATCTACACAACGTAAATGCCGCCCACCCACCTTGAGACATGAGTTCTAACGTCTCAGTATAGTTACAACGCCTGCCCCGCCCTTCAAACTGAATCGCATTACTGCTTCACGGCAGAAATAGGCAAGGTGGTGGTACCTATCCGTGCGGACTCACAAGACGTCCTACCACCAGTAATCACGCAAATATCTCTTCCCTCAAATCGAAACAGTTCGCGGGCGAAATAGGAAAGGTGGTGGTGTGTACCCGTGCGATCTCATGAAACGACTTACCACTGGTAAAAGTATTGACATTGTTATAAACATTGAAAAAAAAACCAACGACAAGTGTTGAAGAAGTGTTGAAACAAAACTATGTACTAAACTAATTGCTATTGCAATTTCAATCGTAACAAAAAACTAAATAAATCAAAGACTATATGTAATACAAAAGTCTTTTCGAATAAGAAGTTCACGAAATAAGAAAGATACGCCCCTAAAAGAATCCTATCAATGGTGCCCCATTCAAAACTGTATTATCTGTATTGAAACATTATTTCGGCTAAAGGTTATATAAAAAGCGGTGGTCGGCCGGCTCCCCGATGGCCGCTTAGCCCCGGGAAAGTCGAGAAAATAAGGGAAAAACGTTCCTCATTTATATTGAAAGGAAATCTTCAGATGGACACCCCTAAGTGGGCGGGAAACCGAATTGGGTGTAATAGAACGTTAGGGTATCACAGTTCGGTTTTATTTTGTGAAAATACAAAGAAATGTTATTGCACGCCAGCCGCATGGATTGAGGAACACTATAAAAAAAACTTCAAAATAATTGTTTATGCTTTTTTCAAATAGGGAAAATATCATTGAATCTGAAATTAAAGGGAAATTAAAAATTAACAAAAAAAAAGTTTTATTGCCCTTCTAGGCAGACGAGTATACGGTCCACCTGATGGTGCGTGGTTACCGTCGCCCATGGACTTCAGCAATGCCAGGGGCAGAGCCAAGCCGCTGCCTACCGTGAAGTATTCTCCACAAGCCTCGTTTGAAGAAGGATATGTCATAGCGCTCGGGAAACAATAATATGTATATAAAAACATAAATAACTATTCAATTTAGGCTTTAAGTTTTAATTCTTTAGCTTTATTTTTAAATAAAAAACAGTCTTGACAACATAATAAACGACAATTAAATGCAAATGATTCTCGAATTTTTTAAACGAGGACCCAATTAGTTATGAGTGAAGTTAAAATTTTAACGTCAAAACAAGAACCGAGGCTATTTATTCTTAGCTACTCGACAATGATATAAATATAGGCGTTCGACATTTTAATAACACAGGATACACGTGTCGCATGTTAATCACGAATAAAAAAATTTAAAACGAATTAAATACTAAAGGCGTGAATATTTCACTTCCTTTACAGACCGGAGTATTAGCTACTGACTCTTAAAACGATTCGATGATCATTAAGTTGACTCTAAGCATCGCTAATGCTTTGGTTTGAAACGTATATAATATTATTACACAGAGCATTGTCAGTTTCGTCACGGTGCTCTAGCTTCGCGTAAACCCTTTGTCGGATGACTCAAAGGTGATTAAATTATATTTGGCACGTGTTGAAAATAACACATGTTCACGTCTTAATTTCTTCGAGTGTTTCGTGTCCAATGCAACTCTTACGTGGGCTTGACTCCACGGATTGCTGTCGAAATATAATTATTATATTTCTTTATTTCTTTTTTTTTTAAACCTGTATGAGATAAATGTTGTTCAAAATTAACTTAAACCATACTTAATACCTAGTTGTAATAAATATATTCTCAATCTTAGAATAGAATTAATCTCTCATTTATACACTATACCGGCCCGTTCCGGCTCCGCTCGGTTCTTTAACAAAAATTTCAACGATATTTGACGGTTTCTTTTTTAGAAAGTGGTCCTTTTTAAAAAAAAAGAATTGCGGCATAATTACAATAGTTAGACATATACTGTCGCGACACTTTTTGTGATTAATAATGTGTTCTACAAAGTCGTAGTACATTATTTTGTTTTATGATCAATAGTTTTTGCAGGGCACGCGATGTTAAGAATATGTTAGGTAATTTTTTTACACCTTGGGTTTTACACATTATTGGAGTTTTAGTAAAGATCTAATTTTTTTCAAAAAAGATTATAGCCTATGGCACTCGTGAATAGTGTAGCTTCCAAACAGTGAAAGAATTTTTCAAATCGGTTCAGTAGTTTCGGAGCCTATTCAATACAAACAAACAAACAATTCTTTCCTCTTTATAATATTAGTATAGAGTATAGATATTGAACTATGTTAAAATCCTTAAACGAAGCTAAGGCAATTATGTGAGTATATAAGTATCACTTGGAACCCTCATATAAATTATTCAATACGCGGGATCCTCTTATCGCAAAGACGAAACTCCAAATTGCCAAACCTCAAGCCATTACTAGTTACTTCTATGTGCGTTACACATAGCGTTAAAAGTCGTCGTGGTCTAAAGGATAAGACGTCCGGTGCATTCGTATGTAGCGATGCACCGGTGTTCGAATCCCGCAGGCGGGTACCAATTTTTCTGATGAAATACGTACTTAACAAATGTTCGCGATTGACTTCCACGGTGAATAACATCGTGTAATATCAAACCAGCAAAAATAAAATTTGCGTAATTACTGGTGGTAGTACCTCTTGTGAGTCCGCCCGGATAAATACCACCACCCTGCCTATTTCTGCCCTGAAGCAGTAATGCGTTTCGTTTTGAAGGGTGGGGCAGCCGTTGTAACTATACTTGGGACCTTAGAACTTATATCTCAAGGTGGTTTTAAAATTATGCATTAAAATTACATTCAATCAATAAAGAAAACATTACACACACTACCATGTATTTGACGCACACACATATAGGTACTCATTGTTTATTGCCAAACTTTTTTTATTGCTTAAAGTCTGTAGTCAAATTGAGAAACAGTTAATATTGCTTATCTTTCTTGGCGAAATATGTGCCTATAGAAATATAATAGTATTTGACAATAGAACCATAATAATGTTCAAACTTATAATTTCGATTAATTATAGTCGAATTTCGACTACTGCGGGACCACTAGTTATTTTAAATATGTGTACTTACAGCGACTCTGCTCTCCTTGAGGTCCAGCCTCATGGCGAGCGCCTCTCGCATGAACACGTCAGGGTAGTGGGACGCCAGGAAGGCTCGCTCCAGTTCCTCCAGCTGCCACGAGTTGAAGTTAGTGCGTGACCGTCTTCTCTTTCCGCTGTCGCCATCATCATCTCCTACCCCACCTACAAGAAATTGAAGTTACCGATTAGCATCAGTGAACTTATCTCAGTATTTAAGCATATGAAACTGTAAGTAAATTTCTAATTAAAAAAAAATTAATAGTTTAAAAAAACTAATAACAAAATACGCTTTTATAGAAAATACAACTAAAAAATAGAAAATAAATTTTAATTAATTTGAATTAAAATTAGTGTAAGAAGAAATGATTTTATTTTAAAAAAAGCGTGGGATGCATGGTATAAGTAGTTATAAAATTTTTAAGAAAAGATATGAGTAGAAGGGTTATTTTGATAATATCCTGAATAACACCCCACGCTTTTTTACAATAAAATCATTTCTTCTTAAACTATTTTTAATTCATATTTATTAAAATTTATTTTCTATTTATTAGTTGGACTTTCTACAAAAGCGTATTTTGTTAGTTTTTTTAAACTATTATTTATTTTTCATTTTTTAGTTGTACATATTTCAATTTTTTCAATATTTTTTTCTTAATTTTTTATTAATATGGGATTGTAATCGGTCCTTAATAAGTATACGAAATTTCGAGTTAATCTGACGTTTTGAAGGGAGTCAAAATCATGTTCAAAGATTCCGTTACAAACATACATACGTCTGAAGCTAATAAAAGCGTATTAAAAACATTTTATCTGAATTATCCCGCGGATAAGTTGAAAATAAAAACTAATTAATGAATTACGTTCATCTATAACTGCATATTTACAATATTTTATAACACAAACCAGTTTCGATTTAAAGCCTCATACCACCACCGACAATACAACAAATCAAGAGCCTCTAAAATCTCCAAACGAATTATAATATTGATGAAAGCGTCAAAAATTAATAACTCAATTAATAAAGCATCCCTTAATCGAATCTGAGAGTCGAAAATTGAAGACGGAACAGTAATAAAGACACCGGCAGCCGACAAACTCCATTTAGACAATTCCTGCGCAGTTAAAACAAAGCCGCGTACGGGGGCCCATAAAAAACAAATGATCTCCTACAAAGCGTCCGAACAAGTTTTAGAAAATAGAATATAATTTCTAATTTTCTCTCGGTGATTTTAATTAAAAACGTTCCCCGGAGAGCGGGACGCAGGCACCGCACCGCGACAAGAGAGACAGGGACGACGGTAAATCACCCGCTCGGCCCTCGGTGGGGCTAAATAAATTACAAGTGATTAAAGAGAACACGCTTCTGTTGTGTGTCGTTGTTTTGTGATTTCGGTCGTTTTTTAAAAGCGAATTATTGTACTAACACTCGCGCTAACGTAATCGGCTTGTTTCGGAACTAATAAGCGAACAAAACCTGTATTCTCGCTGGCTGATCTTTGAATGTATTGTTTGGAAACGAAAGCCTAAAGTATCCACTGAGTTTCTCGCCGGATCTTCTCAGTGGGTCGCGATTCCAAGTCTGGCGGTAGATTCTGCGAAGCCACTGCTCTTGCTAAGGCTAAGGTTACCAAATTCTTTCAGATTGAACCCGTGAGCTCACCTACCCGTCCGCGAGAAACTGGAATAGCCCCTTAGGCTACCTGCATAGGCAAAAAAAGCATAAAGTTCGATAGGTTTATTGAAACCTATTAACATTTTGTACGAGAACAAAAATAACTTGTCCAGTTTCTGAAGCATTTCAATTAACCTTCGTTCACTGTTAGCCAAACTTTACATACATCGATACGTTATGTTGTCGCCTTAAGAGAAATCGTAAATTATTCACGAACGAAAGAGACCGGCTTAAGGCAATTAACGTAGGCGCGAAAGGAACAGATGATGGTTATTGTATTAAAACAAACGATCGCCTTGGGCCCACAGACAACAGTTTTGGCGCACTTTAATTTAGTCTGTTACATGTTTTAGTGTCGCAGGGGTCGGGGGTGGGGCGTTGGGGGAGGGGTGTTCTTCGTTCTAAATATCTGCTATAAAGGGTGTAGCGCGGTTAATAATTTTGGTTCAGTGAATAATTTCTACTTTATTTAGAACGGCGAAGGAAGGTATTTTAATCTTTGACGAGTTACTATGTTTTATTGTTTTGGAACGAAGTTTTGGAATGAAGTTCCTTATGGGACGATGCGGAGGGGTACCCTAACCGGGAAAGAACGTCCTTAACGTGTAAGATTTTTATTATTTATGTATAGTCTTAGTATGATGGTTATTATTATTATTCATATAAATAGCTGTTTCTTTGTATATTATTATTGTATATTATTTATAAATTATTGTGAATAAAACACAGTTGCTAAGTAGTTTTTTTTTATCAATTTAAAAAATCATAATAAAAAATGTATACCCAAAAAATTATTTTCTTTATACCTCGAATAGAACTTAAAATTAATATTTTTATAATAAAAAACTTCGTTCCTATCCGGTGTCCCACGACACCACACACTTTTTTGTTTTTGGAGTTTTGATAAATTTAGTAAGTTAAGGTACTTTCGAACCTGCAAAATATATTATTACGCAATTACGTTGGCTTTATTAAAAAACTTGTATGTACTCGTTTCGAGCGATGTGACTGTGCCGATGGTCAAAACCCGCGGACAGCTTCTAAGACTTCTACTGAAATAGACGTAGCAAATAGATTCTCACAAATAATTTCCACGCTGGAGGAAAGGCTTCGTGTAATAAAAACCAAACCCAAAAATTTTAGGGATTAGCGTAATTTCCAATGGTAGCGTATTGTAATTCCTCACGGGTAACGTTATTCCATTTCTGCCGCAGAGCATTGCGTCCGTCCAATTAGAAGAGTGAAACAGTCGGAATATAATTGAATAAGCAATTTCGAAAAGGGCACATGTCGCATATTTTGTCAAATACGTTTTTTCATATACATGTAGTTTTGAGGCTTACCTACACCCATTTTATAATAATTCCAGTAATTTTCAATTGCTAATTAACACTAAAATATACCTCAAAAGTTAATATTTTAAATTTTACACTGCTTTAGAAAATAATCAGTTTTTTTCATTTCCTGAACATTTTACATTTTCAGAGATGTGCCCTTTTCGAAATTGCATATTCAATTCAGAATTCGACATAATACATCCAATCGTGATGGGTTGCATTGTTAATGTCAATGAATACCGGGGCCCACTTTCTACAATAACTACAATCGTCGGCAATAAAATATTTTATAAAGATTATTTATTTTTTTATGTTTTCTCTTGAGTTACGGAATACGGATACCGATGTGCTTAGTACGAGTTTTTTTAACTCCTCGATCGCGTAAATGTTAACTTAAATTTGAATGAAGAGAACAGCTTCCCTTCATTTACCACTCGCACTAAGCACAAGGAAACACACATACGAGAAAAATGAAGTTTTATTTTAATTTTTATTGGACTTGTAGGCAGATGAACATACGGCTGACCTGATGGTGAATGGTTACCGTCGCCCATGGACTTCAGCAATGCCAGGGACAGAGCCAAGCCGATGCCTACCGCTTAATACTCTCCACAAACCTCGTTTGAAGACATGTCATAGCGCTCGGGAAACACCGTGGAGGAGAGCTCATTCCATAGCCGGATGGTGCGTGGCAAAAAAGACCTCTGGAAACGCACTGTGGATGACCGCAGTGGCTCCAGGTAGTATGAACGAACTCTACTCCGGTGACGGGCGGTGCGATTGTGAAAACGAGATGATGGTATCCGAATACGGACTTTGTGGTACATTAAATTAACTAAATATTTGGAAAACTAGACTCGTTTTCCAGAGCCCTCGATTTGAATCACGTGTTAATTGAACAAGAGCACAAGCACATAGTATGTAAAGCAAAGTCGCTTTCTCTGTCCCTATATCTGTCTGTCCCTATGTATGCTTAAATCTTTAAAACTACGCAACGGATTTTGATGCGGTTTTTTTTAATAAATAGAGTGATTAAAGAGGAAGGTTTATATGTATAATAACATCCATTAAATAGTACAGAAATCAATAATAAATTACAGTTTCCGAAGCGAAGCGAGGGCGGATCGCTAGTACTATATAAAGTGATAAAACAGATAACATTAAAAAAGGAATAGCAATACATTATTAACATACGAGAAATTTCGCTTCAATAAATACAATTTACATTTTTATATTTCTATTAGACGTAGTATAAGAGGGTATCATGAATCACATGCAATTTACGTGATATTTTGGCGAGATCCATATCTTTATTCGTGTATTGTCTGATTGCTTTTTCATTGGGCTATTATGTAGATTTATTGTGGTTGTATCAGCTAAGATAAGAAATGTTGGTTTCGTTAAAGTGTTTAAACGTAAAAATAAAACAGATTTTCATAGAATTTATTATTTTAAGAAATTCAATTAGGTTTCAACATATTTCTTATGTCTTTCATTAGAAAAAGCACGTTCGTTTATTAGCATTAACTAATACGCATTACGATGTTGTTTCTGTGTTGTTTTTTTTATTTTTTTATTGCTTAGGTGGGTTGACGAGCTTACGGCCCACCTGATGCTAAGTGGTTACCGGAGCCCATAGACATCAACGCAAATGCCGCCACCTACCTTGAGATATAAATTCTAAGGTCTCAGTAGTATAGCTACTATGGCTGCCTCACTTTCGCTAGTTTTGAGTATCAGAAGTACTTTCAAAAGTAGTCATTGTATCAAATCGTAGAAATAGCCTCGGATATTGAATTTGGTATTAGTCCATGGACAACATAAATAAATGCCAACGCCCACCATGTCGGTTAATTCGAAGTCTAAATTATGATGTCTCTCAATTAACTAAAATTTTGTAAGGCTGATATAAACATAGTGACCTCTGTTTTTAATGTGACATAAATTATATATAATATTCAATTTCCATGTAATAAAATATTCACTTTAAAATCTAGGCTAATGTTATGTTGATAAAATAACGTTAGGAAATGACAAGAACCAATTAAAATGCTAATGAAATTAGGCTATTATGTATGTATTTGTTTATTATTATTTGTTGATTGGAAAATAATTATTAATATTCTTCCGGACCAAGATATGTAAGTTCTTAA